CAGGAGAGGAAGCCACCCCATTGTCCACCTTGCAGGCTCCCCTGGCCCCTGAAGAGGCTACAGAATTGGCAGCTATTAGAACCCACTTCTAGAAACACTCGATTTGATTCTACAGCTCTGATTGGCCAAGAAGGCAGCAACTCTTAACTGTCTCTACAAGCTCTTCCCTTGGGACTTGGCCCAGACAGAACTCTGTGGGTGTGTATTAGAACTTTTTAGAACAATTAAGACAGCCAAATCTCATGAATTATTTCTCTTGACTTTTTTGAGACATTCAACCAGGAACAAGGAGTTTCTTTTTTTAATTTGTACATTTTTCTTTTAATTGCCTGTGTACATATACAAGACTAATCTTTTAAAACCACTTTTACTTTAAAAGTTGGCAAAAATTGTAAGATTCTGTGATGGAGTTAGTTGTTAGATGTTTCTTCCTGTCTTGGGAGAAAATTCCAGAGACCCACAGATTACAGAATTTGTACAAGTTAAAACTAAGGCCGACTGAGTGCAAAGATAACACGCACACCCCAAGCCAGAGCTTTCAAACCCTTTACTGTCTTAACCGGAGTCTTCTTGCCTCCAGGTTTGTTCACAATGGGCTGGATTTGGCACACTTTGCCACTTTTCAAGGTAACCCTAATTTTCTAAGCCAACCTGGTTATATGTCTATCAAAACTAAACCTGAAAGGATCAGGGTAACCTGTTTATTTTAGAGATATTATACAGCGTCTGTGTGTCACTCACAACACAACAGCAACTGCCTGTACTTGTTTGTGATGCTTCTATAAAAAGACCTTCACTTACAGTTATGTGGCTGCCGCTACATTTCAGGGAAACCAACAGGAAAGAGCTCTGATTTTCTGGAGTAATTTATTTATCCACCTTGCTCTTTACAGCTACCCTGAATTTTGAAACTGATCATATAATTATCTCCAATTGACTGGGCACCCAGGACTGATCTGCAATCTGCTTTAAACAAGCACGAGGTCTTTTGCTTATGCAGCCCTGACAACAGGTGTCACTTTAACCTCATTTATTTATTCATTCTGAGTTTCCCATTTGTCTTGCCTTTTTTTTTTTTTAATTTCTTTACTTATGCATACAGGCTGGGGGCAGTGAGAATATTCATCAGCAACAGAATGGGGAACAGAACAGGCAGACTGACTGAAATACACTGCTGAAGGGAGCAGCAGGTGGGACAGGAGAGGTCTGCTGTGCCATGTGGGTCACCTCCCTGCCTGGAGATGGAACCAGTGCTCATGTTGAAGCAGCTGCAGCTAGCTTCATAACCCTGCACTTTAATTCGCTGTGCCAGGGAGGGATCCCTTTGCCTAGATTTTTATAATCTTGCTTTATATGATATGGAATATATATTCTCTGCATAGTGCAAATTACATACATATGGATACTGTAAAATAGTGTGTATTTTTGTTCACCACCTCAAATTCTTTTCATGAAGAAAATTTTAAATAAATAATAGTGAAACTGTGTCCCCAATTGGGACCATTTTGTTCTTTATAGTAATTTAAAATAATTTTTTTAATAGATCTCACTCTCTTAATGTTATGTTGATTTCCTCGCATTAAAGTGTTGGAGTCCCTTACAAATGAGTGGTAAATGGGTAAAGGTAGTCAAAAGGTTCAATCTTCCAGTTATAAAATAAATGTTTTGGGGATACAATGCACACGACTGCTGCACTGCTTATTTGAAAGTTAAGAGAATTGAGCTTAAAGCTTCTCATCACAAGCGAGAGCTGCCTCACTATCTGTGCTGGATGCTAACTGGATTTATTGTGGTCATTTCAAATTCATACAAATGCCCAGTCATGATGATGGCATCTGAAAGGAATATGTCAATTATTGCTCAATAAAAAGGAAATGACAGCTAAAAAAAAACTAAGTGGAAGAGAGGACTGAGGATACTTATTGAGGATACTCTTTGCTCCGTGGTCTAATTCCCTTTTCCTTTGCTTTTGTATTTGCATGCTGGCCTCTATACTTTCCAACCAGCCAGTTCCATGCTCTGCCCCCCCCACCCCTGCAAGCACCCCGCCATTTTTAGCAATGCCTGTCTTCTTCCTGCTTTGTTGCAGGACAGCTGACAGGTCTACATGGAACACTGGGGAGTGGTATGCTGAAAAGAAATAACCCAAGTGCTCAGGAGCATTTTGTCCATATCATTCCTTTTTGTAAAAAAGCTTCTCATCACCTGCGAAGGGGGCGGGGGGGGGGGGCAGGTATGAGGCCTCTCCTATCAGGCTTCATAATGAGAGAAGGAGCAAGTCAGTCAAGACAGTTTGGGGAGGGGCGAGCATGTGCGTGGTATGTTCACCTCGGTCTGACATCTCCCATGGAGGCTGCAGCCTAACCAAGTGCAGGTTTTGTCTATTACAGGAATGTTTATCTTTTTTTTGGGTGGGGGGAAGGGGATGGTGTCCATACATGGCCAGCAACAGAGAGCATGGTGCTGGGCTCTTGAGCCTGGTCCCCCAAGTCTGACACTAATGTAGTGCTGCTGTCAGTAGCTGCCAGGGAGTTTAAATTCCAGGCCTCCAGGCGAAAGTTTTCAAAAGGTCTCTGCTTCTGCTCACCTCTCCCAGAAATGCTTCGGCCACCCACTCTCAGGATTTCCTCCTGAGGCAAACCTGGCTTGTTTTCTTGGCCCGAGCACCTTCCCTCATTCTCATGCATGCTCAGTGGAGGGGCACTGAAAATAAGGAGGTGGCAAAGTCAGCTCTGTCCCCAGTCTGCTGCCTGGACATAGTGGACAGTTCTGCTTCTATCATTTTGGTCGCAGAGTTACTGTAAGGCTGCCTGGCCCCATGTGTGGCTCAGCAACTATCTATGCTGATAACTAATCTACTCCGCTCTCTATTATTTGTAGAACTAGGAGCCCCCAGGCAACAGCAGAAAAACACAAACACAGAAAGATGAAAGAGAAAGATAGTAAGGTAGCAAAATAGTCCTTAGTAAGAAAACTAAAAAGATACAGGCTGGCTCTTGCCCTGCAGGATCGGGGTTAAGCCCCTCTGTGGCACCATACAATGTTATGATTTCTATGAGCTCCAGGATGGGCTGATTTTTTTTCCATATGCTTCCACAACTCTTTAGCTACCCAGGCAGCTATGGGACATTAACTCTGACTCATCTAGGATGTGTAAGCTAGAAAGTTAAAACAGAAAATTCTGTGCAGGACACTCATTTATGTTAAAAATAATAATAGCAAACTATTAGATTATAACTAATTACTAATTTACATTAGTAAATTATAAATTATTATTATAAACAATAGTAGATGCCCGCTGAGGGCTCAGTATATGCCGGGCATTGTGAACAATGCTTGTAGGCATCACCTCCCTCAATGCTGAGAAGCGCATCAGGGAATAAAAAGTTTCAGAAAGGTAAGTAAAGACCAAGAACACACGCAGGGGAGCCGAGTCACCTGGGGTTAAATCCAGGCTTTGTTCTGACCCCACGTGGGCTGCTGTCAGGCTCTGCAAGCCTCGGACTTCGTGAAAACTCACTATTTTGTGCACTGCTGTTACTGTAATAACACGCCTGTTTTATGGTCTGCCCCGTCCGTGCAAACTTTGTGGCAAAAACCCATTCACTGAACTAAAACGTCTGACTCTTAGTTTCAGGGGACATTATGAGGAGCAAATAAAACCATGAATGTGGAAAAAAACTCTGGAAACTGGGAAAGCACTCCCAGAGGAAGGAGGCGCCATTGCTACTAAAATGTCAACAGGTTTGTGATAAGTGCTGGTTCTCTTTGGCTCAGATTATTCTGAATCAGAACACCTGCTTACCTACCCAAGGCCACCCGCTAACTTAGCACGAGCCCCCTTTCCACCGCCTCATTTTGGGGGCGCAAAACCATGCAGTGGAGAATTTAGGAAGTAACAGCTCTGGGCGTGCGGCTCCAGCGCTGTCCACTTGCCCGGCTCTGCACGGACACGCATGTTTCTCTTTAACGGGTGCAGAAACTCCTGATGCGCCCCAGTGTTAAGACACAAGAGTAGACGAATCACAGTCGGGTCCCACTAAATGATCCACGCTCAGCTGCACGCGGGTTTTCGTGCTACCCACAAACCACCGGCCGCCTTAACTCGCCGGCAATGGGGCGGTGATCAAACGCCCTTACCTGCTCTTCCAGGAGCTTCTACCTCTTAAGTGAGGGCGTGGCGTGGAAAAGCATTAAAGCAGCTCAGTCAAGGGCGTTTAAATTCTCAGAAAGACCGAGGGGAGTTCGCTGCTTCTTTCCACCTCCAGTGAGGAAGAAAATAGCGACTATTTGAACAAATGTAAAAGACCCGAGGACTTCGCGCAGGGATTTCAGTCCAGTCAGGCTGCGCCCTAGCAACTGTGCTGTTTCAGTCGAAAAAGACAATTTGGGGGGTCACTGTCGCCCTCCAACTCCTTCCTGTCTTATTCGACTGAGAGCGAGCTGGGTTGGAGGGGAAAGCACAGCGTAGGTGCTGGCTGGCGAGGCGAAGGCCAGCGTTGTCCTGACCAGGTCATTAGAAACCGTCTGACAACAGGAAGGAAGCTCATTAACCCTGTGCTCCCCTCCCTTTCCCGGGTGAGAATCAGCTCCTCCTCCTGGTCGTGCGACTCCGGTGCAAAATGCAAACAACGGCCCGCGCTCCGCAGCCTGCCCCCCTCTCCCAGCGGAGGACGAGGCCAGAGGGGAGGGAGCCGCCCAGAGCCCAGTCGAGCCAGTCTGAGGGACCGGCGTGAGCACCCCGAGAGAGCCGACCTGGACTACGCGGTCCTCGCGCCCACCAGGGCACCGCGGGAGCCCGGTTTTGCCTGTTTGCGGAGTTCGCACTCAGCACCCCAACGCCGAGCCTGCCACCCCAACCCTTCCTCCTCCCAACACCCGCTAACTCCCGCGCCTCGTGCAGGTGGGCGCCAGCACCCCTGAGCTCCAGCGCCTCCTGCCGGGGGTCGGGAGGGCGGCGGCGGCGGTGGCGGCCGCGGAGGAGCCGGGCGCCGGGCGGGGGAGAGAGCTCCGCGCCGGGAAGAAGCTGCGAGCGTCCCCGATGGTGCCGGTGCCTCCGCCGAGCCGGGGAGCAGCGGCCAGGGGGCAGCTGGGCAGGAGCCTGGGTCCGCTGCTGCTGCTCCTGGCGTTGGGACACGCGTGGAGCTTCCGAGAGGCGCCCGAGGACCGCGACAGGTAAGCGCTGCCGCCTCTGGTTGGTGCGCACGCGGCTCGCGGGGTGCGGGAGCCGCTCCCCACCACGCCAGGCGGCAGCGACCCGTACGCCTTTGCCGCAGCGGGCACCGGCTGGGTGCTCTCTTGTGCCAGGCGAGGTGAGACTCGGCTTCCCGGTAACCGCCTTGGCGCCCGCCCTCGGGGCTCCGCGTCTGTGGGTGGGTCAGGGCTCCGTGATACCCCGCGGCGTTCCTGCCGCCCGCCGGTGCCCCGCTTCTCCCGGGCTTTACCCCCCGCTGGGAGCTGGTTTCGCTCGGTGGGAGCTCACCTGGCCCGCCCAGGCCCTGCGTCCGCTCTCGGGGCGCTCGGGAGCACCGGTGCCTGCTGCGCGCGCCGGGACGCGGTTCCCTGCAACTCCGCTGCGCTCCGGGACCCCCCCCCCCCCCCCCCGCGCGCCCGCCCGCCCTCCCGCGAGGAACCAACCAAGCTGTCCTCCACTTTTTCTTAGAGAAGTCTGCTCAGAAAACAAAATCTCGACCACCAAATACCCGTGTCTGAAGACTTCAGGCGAGCTCACCACCTGTTTCAGGTAAGTCTCGGGCTGGGAAGGGGCACGCGAAGGCGGGGTTTGAGGTCGCCTTCGGGGGCCGGGCCGGGACTTCGGTGGTGCTGGGAGTTCTCCTGGGTGCAAGCCCTGTGTGTGATATCTGGGCCAGAGCACCGGCGGGCACCCCAGTCTGCACCTAGGGTGTGCGCCCTAAGACCCTGAGACTGTTCACCCACGGACAGCTCCGTGAAGGACTTGCGTGGTGAACGGCAGGCGGGGATGAGGTTGAGAGTTTGTGAAGGAAAGTGAGTTGAATTTGAGAGCGTAAGCAGAGTGGCAGAGCAAAGATAAATGGCCGCTTTTGCGTGTGCGTTTTGTTTTGAAAAATACAACGTCAGCCACAAAGAACTACTTGACCCTTGGCTGTCTTTTGACCTTCTGCTGGGACAGAGAGTAATTGTCAGGCTTTTGTGGGTGAAAGCACAGGGAAGGGTTTGCTGGTGCCTGATACTTTGTTGAGGCTCCAGAGAGGAAGGATCTTTATGAAACTGCCTCCCAGGGTTCACCTGGCTGGTGGTAGGCCTAGGTAGGGCTAGGAAATCCGAGCTGGAAAATGCTCCCTAGGTGGTTCTTATCTCAACAAAAAGAGAATCTGTTCCCAGCTTGCAGCCCTCTGGAAGTGAGGGACAATTTGTTTCCCTCCAGCCCCCCTGTTGAATTCTTGGCTTCTGTTCTAGGGAAAGCAGGGGGTAAAGGGGGCAAGCAGCCATAAACGTTTATTAGTTGCCTGCTTTTTACAAGGACTGTGCAAGCTACCGGGACCACACATCCCCAGCCTTAATCTGCTTTGGGGATCCCATGGTGGTTGTACGCCAGGATAAACGCTGGGCAGTGCAGGGTGGCATAGCAGGCCTCAGAAGTGGGCCTGCAAGAAAAGGAAGTTTTACTACTTCACGATGCAAATGGATCTATCAAATACTTTCAACGAATGTTTTACACGTGCCAGCACCCAGTTTCCAGGGCTGGTCAGGTTAGTGAGACTTCACCAGGTACACGAGTACCTTGCTTTCCTATTGATCATTGGCTGTGGAGAGTCGGTGATCTCCAGATAATCAAGTCACTCCTTGGGTCACCTGGCTGGTGAAACCACCTGGTTTGGGGTGCTGCTGTGGGTCGGTCCGGTGTTTCAGCTGCCCATGTCGTACTTCCTGAGTCACGCTGTTCCCCTGGATAAAGCCTCTACTTCCGCACATTCAGTGTCCCTGATGTGGTTGGCATCTTTGTTCTGTCCTTGAGGGTCAGACTGCACATTCATCAGTGACGGTTACAGATTGCACATCCAGTTCGTAGAAACGTGTGGTGCCTCATTGGTGTTCAGGCTGATCCTACCTGATCCTACGGGTTCAGCTGTTTGTCATCTTCCAGTTTTTGCAAACAGCATGGCGTTCTTCAAATTAAAAATTTCTAAGACAGCGGTATCTCGACTTGGTTTCAGTAACTGCGGTCTAAAGGAGCTTATGAGAGCTAATAAACATGACTGTTTGGTATCCGAGTAAAGAACTTTGAGAGAAGAGAGGGTGTTCATGGTCCCTATGTATGAGCTTGTTCAGCTTTTTTAGTGTTCAGGTTATGGAAGTCAAGGACTCTGGTTTTATCCTTTCTATAACTAGCTTCTCAAAGTTGGTTGGCAGTTGCTGACCCCTTTTGCTTTTGAACCCCAAGAATGGAGGCCTGTTGTGATTTTGGCTTGCAAGTTCTGGTTGCCCTGGCACAGTAGACCCTTGCTGCTTCCAGTGGGGCCTCCTCGTGTTAGGGATGCAGGCTCCGCCCCAGCTTCCTGGGTCAGACCTGCATGGGTGGGCTGAGCTGGAGGAATAACACCCCAGAACCCCGGACATGCCCTCTGACCATTTCCAGACCCTCAGTAGCTTGGTGGCCTCTGCCTAGCTAGTTCCACCTACCACCAGCCTCTGGCAGTAGACAGCCAGCCCCAGCAGCCAAGGAAAACCAGCCTTCCGGGAAGCTGGACTCGCCATGCTCGGATGACCCATAACTAAGCTGTCAGTAGTGTAGGAAGAGGCTGCTGGGGGCTGCTTTGCCTAGAGGGGCTCCCACTCTACCCCAGGCCTTTGGATGAATAGTTTCTAGCAGAAGGGTTAGCCCAAGTGAGAGAATTCTGGAAATCACTACTGAACTTCTAATAATGTGATAAAAAATCATGGAGGATGATGTGGGCTGTCTGTGTACCTAAGGGACATGAGACTGGTGCTGTGGAGAAAAGGTGGGTTCAGAGCAGTCTCTATCCTGGGCCCCCACCCCTCTGCACTTGTTTCACCTGAGCTTTCCACGTCGGCCCTTTCTAGTGCACATGAAGTGACAATTAGAGGACTTGCTGTTCTAATGCACTTACGCACATTACCACTAATCCTCAAAGCCACTGTGCAGTGTATTATCTCAGTTCCACAGAAGCGGGTACTCTGTCAAGGGGATTAAGTAAACTTGCCCAGGGTCACGAAGTTAACACATGTGAGAGCCCAGCTTTAAACCCACCTTTGTCTGACTTCAAAGCCTGGACCCTTTTATCATCCCAGAGGTGTCCCCAGGTGGGCTGACCTTTTCGGATCCTGGGATCTAAGGAGGGGGGCTATAAATTCAGGGAAAACGATGGGATGGAAAAACATTTGAATTACTGTTACTCGGAGATGGCGTTTGTAGTATGGTATTTGCACCAGATCGGCTCATACATCTACTGCTCTCCTTCCTTAAGGTTTCTTCTAACCGCAGGTGTGTGCCTCTAGATACGTTTTGCCCGTGTGCACAGAGCGAGGTACCCAAAGTGTAAACACTTGCTGAATGAATGTTGGTGATACTGAACGAGCCATTGCTCAACATCAGAAACTGGTACTGGGCGTATTTTCACCAGTTCTTTGATGTCGGAGTTGGATGTGACTTATCTAGGTTCTAAAGTTACTCCTGGTATTATCCTCTGGCTGTTCAAGTTTCCCCAAAGTTGATTTTCCTTTCCCAAACTGTGTAGTTTGAACAAAAGGCTTATGTCTACCTTTCCTTTTTGGGGTTGCATGTCTATAACATGACACATTTAGAGGCTTCTTAAAAGTAAACCCAGGAATATCCTTGTGTGTAAAAGACCTCAACAAAATCCCCTATTTTAATTGCATGCAGCTGTGTCTGATAAACATCCTAACTAAATTGGAGGCACTTAGGATTTGAATGTCTATTTAAGCTTAAAATAGGACCGTAGAAAACGGGAGCGGAGAAAGATAAGCCCCTGTCTCGGAGAGCTTGCAGACCTTATGGGAGACGGAGGCCTTTGAAAGTGTAATCAATACACAGTGGTACATGATTGATTTCAAAGCCGTGTGGTTCATTCTCTACCATCGATGCGGAGATTAGAGCAGCTAGGAAGCGCTGTATAAGAGAAGACCTTGTTCTGTACCAGCATTGTGTGTTTAAGTAGCAGTAGCGCTGACCGCAGACCCGGTCACTGGTCTCTCCCCGGGCACAGCGCTTGCCTGCATCCCCATGGGACCCAGCAAGGGTGCAAACGCTCCCATTTCTTCTTTGAGATGATGCAGCAACACTGCCAGATGCTGCTTAAAGGTGAAAGTTAAAGTGGTGTCTCTGCAGATGTGTTTATTTGGAATTTAGAGAGCAAGAAGCTCACTTAATTAGAGCAGCTCGACCAGATTAACTGCCTTGGACCTGAGTCTGGAGGGGAGAGGCCAGCGGAAGGCGGTGCAGTGGGTCACTGGGCTCCTCCGGAGGACTTTGATGTCAAAACAAACTCTGCCCCAGCTGAAACTGCAGCTCTGCGTAATTGTTTTATGACCTTCAGCAGCTTCTTGACCTCTGTGCTCCAGTTTTCTCTCTGGTAAAATGCTACAGGGTTTCTGTGATGAGTTGTTACCCCAAGGAAGGCTTGATAACAGTGCTGTGCGTGACGTTCACATCTCCCTGATTCTGGCACCTGGCGTGCACATAGTGTGCCCCTGGACATTGGATTTCTTTTGGTTTTTGAAGCTTGACACTAGGTATTTGTGAAAGGGTGGATTCAGACCACTGCCAGAAGCCACCTCTTTTTTTTTTTAACTTATGCATACAGAACTGGGGTACAGGCCAGAGGTGCACGGGCGGCGAGAGGCTTCACTAGAGACAGAGTGGGGAGCAGAACAGGCAGATGGACGAAGTACACTGCTGAGGGGAGCAGCGGGCGGGTCAGGAGAGGTCTGCCGCGCCATGTGGTCACCTCGGGGCAGGCGGGAGTCGAACTCAGGACATGGCTTTAGCTTCTCAGTGCTGTGCTTCAACCCTCTGCGCCACCAGGGAGGGCCGGCCACCTCTGTTTTTACAGGTGCTTTTCCAAGCGGGTAATCCAGAAATCTAGTACCTTAGAAAGACGGCAGAAAACATCTCTCCTTCCTTTGTTGTAAACTCCCCACAGCACCCTACTTGTTTCTAAGAAGGAATGGGGTAATTGTTACCCTAGTTTCGAGGACCTTGGAGATCTCCCCCTTGCCTAGATTTGCAGGGAGCCTAGAAACAAGAATGTAATCCTGTCCTCAGCCCTCTGCCTCCTATCGCATGGCCAACATAGCTGAGGACAGACAGCTCCGAATTGGTGGTAAAACTGGGACCTCAGCCCCCCTCCCCATAAGCAGGCACCAGGCCTGGCCACCCCACCCTGGCTTGACAGGCAGCAGTGGGATGCTGTGCAGAGTCACCTGCCCTGCAGGCCTGCGCAGGTGGTCTCTGGTGCTAAACCTCCTCCCGCTGTGTGGACAGCCTCTGAGGGCCGCCACCGCCTGGCCCCGCCGTCACCCCGGCAGCCTCCCTGGCTGGACGGTGCCCAGCAAATGACTGTTAATGTGGCAAGGGGGTGATGAGATGCGGCATCGTTCGTCCTTCAGAGCAGCTCAGGTGCTCCCAGCTCTCTGCCTGCTGCCAGCTGTGTAGGGAAGGCTGTCACTTCCCAGCTGGGCCTGCTCGGCTTCACTCTCTCCTGTGTTTACGGTGCTGATCCT